GTTAATTCCGGATGAATTCATCATGATGGGCTAACAGGCCTGTTTTCATTCTCATCTATCACTCTTCACTGGTGCTCCGCCAGCGTATCCCGTTACGGCACCCATCAAAAAAAATTTGGTTTCTTTACTTTCTTCTGGATATACCATTCCACTTTTTTTTTATACAACTTAGAATGGCACAAGCCATGATGGAAAGTGGTAACCGTCGCCTATAGACATAAGCAGTAATGGACATAACAGAGTGTTTCGCTTCTGTACCATTTCTTGTTATTCCTCTGTACCCTGATTCACCCCACACTACTATCACGAATAATAGTCTTATGTCATATTGTCAATTACTCTGCACGTATTTATCAGTATATAAAATATTCTATGTGTTAAGATACCCGCGTACCAAATTTTATATAAATCTGTTCAGCCGTTTAAGCGTGATTAACAAACACACAAACATCTTTACAAAACTTTTACCTTCTGATAATATTATAAATGTAAAAGGATGAATGAATTAATGGAGAGAGGGTTAAATGTTTGTTACTCTGTCACGCAAAAACTACTGAACAGATTTGAATGAAATTTGGTACACGGGTAAGTTATACTCGCATCCTAACTTAGCACGTGGGATACTTTATATACTGATTCATGTGAGCGAAACTGCCAGATACAGCTAATTTATAATATTAGTAGGATTTATAAAATATATACCATACCTAATTATACTTCATATTATGATATACAAAGAAGAAAGAAGTCAGTCTAGTTCTTTTTGTTTGTAAATTGTCACAATATTGCACACCGCTCTACCCGCTGATATTAATGCTCTTTTCCACTTTGGGTGTTGCTGGAAGAGAACTCTTTTAAAGTTAAGCTCGCCTTTGTACATTTACTTACCTCTGACATATTTTTATGTATTATATTTAATTATATTTAATTATATTTTTATGTATTATATTATTGTACAATAAAGTATAAATATAAAAGAAATATATAATATAAATCTACTATATTTTCCACACATTATTTAATTACACTATAACCTAAAAATAACTCAAATCTACGCTTCAAATAAATTAAGTAAGAAGTACAATTAGACATTCTAGAGCAGGCCTTAAAATAATGAATTTACTTACTTTATTAACTACAATGTAATTTCTAAACTATACAAATTTCTATTTACTAACCTTTGGTTAACTTTAGAATAACCAAGGGCAAACAGATTATAATTAGAACTAAAATATATAACCGTACATACATAGATATTAAAATTTCTGACGAAAATACAAGGATTTTCTTTTTTCCGTTCGACTATGAAAGTGGTAATTTTGATCGACAATAAATGGTAATTACCGTCTTGGGTAGATCATCATCATCATCATCATCATCTGATATGATGATGATCATATCAGTCGATAAATGTAAAATAAATGCATATTCGTTACGATAAGGCGCAACCTTCATACATGAGAGTTCCTAGGTATTGAGTTATACAACAGCAAATCTACGAAAGTGGCAGTTTCGTAAGTTGCCAAAGAAAATCATTTATTTTAATATCTGCCAAGGATATGCCATATCGATGCCATAACGAAAGTGCCACTTTCGTAAATATACCGAGGTATAAATCACGTGTTTTGGAGAGAACTTCAGTTTAAATAACAACGTTATAGCAATCATTCATGGAAAATAACTAAATTAGGATTAAAAATTTATAAAATAATTATTGTAATTTTCAAATTAAAGTGTTTATTATACTATAAAAATATGCTAAGTAAGTTTACTTTGGGTATATCACAAAAATATGGAGATTCGAGCTACTCGATTTCTTTAACTGTTAGAGATAGAAATTTAGATTTTTAAACGTAAAATGTAGATTTTTAAAGAAATGTCAAATTTGAAAACACTGCAGATTCGTAAATTTGCCATAGAGGTGACAATATATGGTACAAACAATATCTTCAGCACCCTTAGGGGTTTTTTATGGATGATAATGGAATGGTAGCTCCACCCGCACTCTCGGTATACGCTGGCAGGGCACTAGTGAGGGATGATAGGTGAGAATGAAAACAGGTCAGTTAGCCTTTTGTGACGAATTCCACAAGAATTAACTACAATGGTTTCCAGGGGAAACCACATGGAGGGTATATTGCTAGCAATAGGGCTGTTAGACGCCATTACTAACAATCCCATACCCCAGAACCCTTAGGTGTACTGAAAAATTTGAGCTTCCCGTACTGACATAACAGCAAAAGGTACTATTAATAATTTTTTTTTACAATTTTCTGTTAGGAAAAAGTTTTAGTTGAGTACACAGTATAACACCTGACCCCCTAGACAAGTGGCAGGCGAATCCATCGATGGAATCGTTATTGAATGCGATTTCATAAGTTAGAATGAGACATCCGATGTTGCTATCTCATTCTATCTCACGGATTTGCTAGCGATGTCGATTCCATAGATAAATTCGCTTGCCACTTGTCTAGAGGGCCTGTATTATGTAGGAATGTATACAAAATGGAGCCGATTTTGAGGCATCAATCTCTAATGAAAATTTGATATCATCATATTAGCCTTTAACTATCCACTGCTGAACCACCACCGCCTCCACCTTAGGGGGTTTTGCCAGTAATTGCCACGCTTTGCAAGCAGATTGGCAACCGCAGTTAGGCTTTGGAGATGTTTTAAGAGAGACGCTGCTGCCCATCTCTCGCCCTCACTTAGTCGCCTCTTACGACACCCAAAGGAAAAAGGGGTGGCGTATTCTATGCCAGGACCACACGGAAGCTTTGATATACTTAATATGAAATATTAATTTTAAAGATAGGCATAAAGAATGATGCCTCGGTTTCGACCCCATTGTCTTTACCCCCATGGTACCTCGCAGAGCTTTCTGTAAATCTACAATTAAATTCTTTCTTAACCTTTCAATTAACGAAAACAATTAACTTTTGACGTGCGTGGGTAGAACATTTTAAAAACTGGAAAATTATATTTACGGGTCACTGAACATTTTAAATTCCAAAGGGTTAATTCTTAACAATATAACATTTATAAACTTTACAAAACTGAGTTGAATAGATGGGATTCTGTTTTTTCACATTAAACAAACGTTAATTAAAAGAAAACTGAGATGAAAGTTCCTGAAGTTTTGTACCCACGTTGATCAGTTTGATTGTAGTTAATTAAAACTTCATAATATTTTGTATAGCGTAAAATTCTTATCTTTTAATCCTTTGATTAATTTATATAATAAATACAAGTACAGCGTTGTTGCGCTTTAATTTTAGATTTAGTTTGAACTCAGTACGTAGTACGTTATACTACGTCTATAGTTTGAACAATACTCGTATTTAGAGCATTCATAACACAAATCGCATCATAGAATACATTACAATACAAATAAATCTAACATAAAAAAAAACTGCACCTACTTCATATTTAAAAATTTAATTAGAAAATTGTATGGAACGTCTAATTGTCCAAGGGTCGGTACAAGGCAAACGTTCTCGGGGTAGATCACCAACGCGATGGACTGACCTCATTAAAACGGCCACACAGCAGTCTATTGTGAAATGCTTTCACTCGGCTGTGAGCAGAAGTAGATGGAGACGCATCGCGAAGAAAGGCCTCATCGACGATCCACTATCATCATGAAAATCACGACCACTCTGTCAAGAACGAAGAAGTGTACGAAGAGAGACTTCATATTTTCCTTCGGAATTTTTCAAATGCATGTTTACCATCAAAATCCAAATTTTAAATGACAAGTTAATAAGAGTATTATTGCATAATTTTGGTTTGCTAGCACAGCACATTATATACATAATCACAAACATTGATAAATATTAAATCTATATGTACCAAATTTAATTCAAATCTGTTCAGTAAAATGAATAATACGCATGATTGTGGGCGACGTTTACCACTGTCCATTAGGTAGGCCATCAACTTGTTTGGCCTATTCTAAAAAACCAAAGATTAAAAACATAAAAGAAAAGAGCATATTCCTTTTTAAAAGATTCTCAAAAATCAGGTGAGCATTTTTAACAAAAAAAAAAAAAAAAAAACTAACAGTAAGATAGATAGTCTGTCGAGTTTGGAACACCATATAGTGGTTTTCATATCTATGATTTAGGCCGTAAGCTTATAAGATTCTGAATATTATTTTATGCAAATTATAATAAGTCTTTTAAAATAACTTCTAGTCTTATAGGTCCAGACATAATAAAAATCTGGACTTACAATTTTATGCAGATTGAATCTGTACATTATTTTCATAAATACAATTTTATTTTCCAATTCCATTATTTCCTACGATCAAAAGTTATATATTTAATCAGACTTGTCCTTCGTACGCACAGTTCAGTCTATATTAGTTTCTAACCCGAGACAGTAAGTTAGAAGATAAACTTTGTAATGTAATTTTTTGATTATTGAGATAATTTCTGACATAACATTATTTTTATCAAAGTTTTTTACGTTTAACTAATATTTTTATACGAACATATAAACATGTCTACTTATATGTCTATGTGTAATGTTAATAAATCGGATATCGTGGTTCATATTTGAAAAAATAATTATAAAAATCTGTTCAAAATTGGTATAGTTACATGTATAGTCGTATATACATATGTATGGCTACATAAAAATGTTGTACATACATAAAAAAAATGCGAACAGAAATATGTCTGACACAAATGAACAAATTGGGGTCGATTCTGATGCGCCATTTCTCTAAACTTGTTAAGGCGATGTCTTTAAGGACCAATATGAACTAAATTTGTAATAAAGTCAAAATTATTATCAATTTTGAACCATTATAGTTCATAAAACAGTAATATTGAGAAAATATCAAATTGAAATAGTTTAGAGATAAATTTATATTATGCTTCAGAATCGGCCCAAGATTTTTTTAATGACATAAGTATCGTTTATCTTCTAAGGTTTCATTCATAGATGCAGTGCAATGTATAAGGTTCAATTAAATACATAAATGAAACAACAAATTTAATATAGTAATTTATTTCGATCAATTTACCGACAAATACATTTGTACGGACTCTCCATACAAAGAAACTTAAAACTATGACTAAACCCTAACTACTTAATTATACGTATTTGCATAAAGCAAAAAAACAAACAGTATTTTCAAATCTTTACAAACGACATCTAAATATAGACATCCCAAAGTTATTGTTAATTTTAGAAAAAAAAAAACATGTTAGATATTGGAATGTTACATCTTCCAATGTAAGTTGCAATTAATACTAATGCTTTAAACAAATCCATCATGTGTTCATGTTAACATGAACACAACAAAATACCAGACACTTATAAAAATATGGTAAACAGGTGATTTTTAAAGAATCTACTCCCTATTTTAACTGTACAAAATATGGAAATTCAATAATATTTCCAAATTAAAGATTCACATATATGAAACAAACACAAGTGAAAACAAACTACAAAATAACGTCACATTCATATTTTATAGGCAACTATTGTAATTAAACTTTTAAATTTTACTAAACGATTATTGTTTCTGAATTTACAAATATAGTTTTTATTATGATAAATTATTACAAAGCTTGTAAATAGAAATTTGTACAGTGTCCAAGTTTAGGTCCACGTCGACTTTTTTACTGATACATCAAGAAATTGTTAACAAAATTAACGTTGTTGAATTTAAAACGCCCTATCAACCGCTGTACAGCGTACCAATTCTACTATCACTCTTAGATATAATTTATATCCCATTTTGTTACCGAGCTATTACAAATATTACGCTTTCTCTAGTCATCTACCACTATTAGTATCCCTGCAAAATATCATTTGTTTCATTCAGATTAGATTCCATTTTCCATTCACAGCCGAATTTAAATTCCACCCCTGATAAAAATAATGCAGCAAGTTTTCTTTATTCAGCCTTAACAAAGGTAAATGACTTTTATTGAGACGCCGAAGGTGCCATCTTATCATGCGCAGACGTATTGTTGCGATAGTGAAAACAGCATTTGACAGATTTAAAAGAGAAAAGTTCGAGAACAGTCAGCGAGAAAAACCTAGTTCCAGAAGCCTACACATGAAGAAGTACACTCCAGAGTCCATAAGTTTTACAAGCGGTAATTTGCCTATCTCCATAAACGTTTACCCTCTTATTCATAAAAATGTCAAATGTCTCGTAAACCTATTTTAGCTACTGATCTGTTATGTCACTTTTATGCTACATTCCCAATTTGAAATAAAGTGACAAAACAGTCAAATAGGTTTGTAGGTTTTAGTTTTTATGAATAAGGGTTCAAATTGGCATTTTATGCTTGCACGTGAAATAGCAAGCGAAAGAATTATTTTCTTCCTACTCTAATTTTTAGTCAGTGTGCACTAGTTAAGACCATTCTTTAAGTACTCAACTGCGTTCGCGAACAATTAGCTAATTCTGTATTTCTACCTATTATTTTATTTTAACCCTTGTTCTTATTTAAATCCACCTTTAGTATTTGGTGAATGAAGGTACTTATACGTTCACGAATCGATTTTATTACCCATGGACATAATAATTCAGCATTGTCAACATTTGTCACTTGTCTCCTATAGGCTCCTAGTAGTACTAATAGTAAGTTTATATACGCGCGATAGCTGCTCGCCTTGGGATGGTTTAGTATAACCTTAGATTATATACATAGTGTCTCCATACAAATACTTCGAGAAAAACGGGTCAACTTTTTCATACCATTTCTAATAATAAATTATTTGCTTAAATATGGGTATTACAGATGGTACATTATTAGATAATCACGCCTCCATATTTTACCATAAATGGCGTGCAAATATACTTTTAATATATATATACTAGTACAATTCCATTATTATAGTCTCATATATCACAGTGTTTTAATTATAATAAATTATAGAAAAACAAAAAACATTTTGAATTATAAATAGTTATGAGTGATTAATTTCTGAATCTTTTTAATGCGTACTGCATGTTGACCCGTTTTTGTAGCTCGATGCTCTATCTATATAATGTAAGAGTATATCATCCGATATTCCGCTATTCGCATTGCAGGCATACACTTAGATTCATTTGACAGCAGCGTTGTACAGTCAAAGGTGGTATATTACGACAAAAAAAATATATAACGACGGTTTAAGACCGATCGATATCAGTCTTGGATGTGTAACATGCGATTTCGTACTATTCACGTCGCCCGCGCAACTTAATAATAATCATTAGTCACTTGTCACGTGTAGACGAGACCCCAGAGGTATTAGCAGCGATACAGTCGACGGTAGCGTGTTTTAGCGAATATAGTGATAAGTCTAATAACGACATACGCGTCACGCCCGCGACGCTCGCGATATCGCCCATCGCAGATGAAATAACACGCGGTTTCGCACTACTCACGTTGCTTACGCATAAAAATATAAATAATTAAATACAATAATTTATTTTAATTATTGTTATTAGTCCCTTGTACAGGGTAGATGCCGCGTGATTTTGGCATAGAATGGGCCACTCCTTAGTGCCCCCTGGTTACCCTAAGAGGCAACTAAGGGGATTTAATAGTAGAGAAATGGGCAGCAGCGTCCCTATTAAAACAGCACCAAAGCCTAACTGCGCTTGCCCACCCGTCTGCCAAGCGTGGCAACTATTGGCACAACCCCTTTATGGGAGAGGCCTATGTCCAGCAGTAGGCAGTTAACGGCCGATACAATTAGTGTAGATGAGATCCCAAAGGTACAAGCAGCGTTGTAGTCGACGGTGACGTGTTATAGCAAGTGGTGATGGCGTCTAATGACGTGCGTCGCGGCGGTGCTCGCGATCGCGGTCGCGTTCGGCGGGAGCCGCGTCACGTTCGCGTCGCTCGCGATATCGCTCGTCGTAGTACGGTGCGGCACGCGCTTTCGCACTGCTTGCATCGCCCGCGCCGCCCTCTGGTGCCGCTTCTACCGGCGATTTACGCGGCCTGCAAGACATTTCACATTATTTTTCACGATCCATTGCAGAGACTAGTGACAAATGTATATTCATTATTGAGACCATGTGTCAGAAACGTGCGAAAATTATATTTGGGTTTAGAGATGGATTAAGTCGGGTTTTTATTAAAGCAATAGAACGGGACAATCACTCACATAGATAAGACAGGCACCAAGGGCTTTATAAAACACAATATTCCCTTCCCCTTTCATCTTTATTTATTTATACTTTATTGTAAACAAAAATTACATAGTTATAGTCTATATTAAATGAAGATGTACAATAGGCGAGCTTAACTCTGTAAGAGTTCTCTTCCCTTCTTTCTCCATTCTCAATTTTAAATTCATATTATTTAAATTCTTTACTGATATAAAATTTTTATTGAATGTCGCTATAAAACTCGGATAATTTACATGCACCTTCATGAATTTTCATTTCATACTAATCTAATGAACTCTTCCTTACCAATAGTCTAATCGGCATGTTGAGAGCTATGCGTCTTAAAATAATTATAAAATTGTTTGGGATGTACCAACATGACGTTAAGAATATTGGTCGTTTTCTATCCTAGTGCATTAAACTACTCCTTCAAAGACAGAATTACCTTTCTTCCCTGCTGTGTCCTCTATTATAATGATCAGCGCGTTCGCGGTCCCGGGACCTCGACCTGTCCCGTTCACGCTCTCTATAATCCCTGTATGCATATCTGTTGACAAAACAAAAGAATCTTCATTAAAGACATAATGAACCTTGCGTACAACTAAAGCTATCACCACACAGACAGATTCAATCAATACATAACGTCTATCAAAAACAATTTTTAAAATTTCTGATTTATTTAGAAATTGCACTGATAGCAAACTAAAACGTTATACGCACATTCATAAGTTATTGGAAATTTAAAATCTTACGATGATAACAAATTCAAAAGTTCAGATATGCTAACACAAACCCGAAAAGATTAGCCTCCCTTTTTGCGCAGTCGGGTAGAAAAAAGCCAAAATTGGTTATATATTTAGTTAGATAAAGTAGTTCGACTCGGGTAAAAACCCTAGAGTTTGAAAAGAACCTTGAAATTGACAGAGATATTCGCTTGATAAATACATTCGAATTAAAAAGCTTTAAAGTCGTATTAAAATCTAAACACAAGCAAAAAATGCCTAAAAAACAGTTGAGTCACCATTAATAAAAATAAAAAGAAGCAACAAAAAACACAACAGTGATTAAAAATTTTGACATTTAATACGTTAATAAAGGTTTGTGCCCACTACACCGCATCTCACTATGACCATAGTACGACCGAATCCGACACAAAAACTGTTCCAAATAATACTATACCCATTATATTTCAAACAGTACTGTGCTCACACTAACGTATCTTTTCATCTTTCAATAACATACAGCACAAAGTAAGTGTGAGCTCTACAAAAATTTACGTTACGACTATGTTAGCGTTTACGTCGAAAATTTGCATTGAAAACTTGACTACGCCTATAGCGGATAATTTCGGAAACTATATTTTCATACAAATTTTTCGATATGAATGTGAACGCATTCGTAACGTAAATGTTTATACAACTCATTAGCTACACTATCTCGCAGAGTACATTATTTTTTTGTACATTTTAGCAAATGTGTGTATTCATTCGTTTTACATTGCAATACCATGGAATCACTACGCTATGGGCTGCCTACAGTCATAACTGACATCGAGTAGCTTTAAACATAATGTCACTTGCATAATATTCTTGCTAATGTAAAAATCTACGCTAATAGAGAATATTTTACATGTGTCAGTAAAATTACTGTCGTGGTATAATACGGTATAGTGGGCACAGAACTTTATGGAGGGAAAGCGTCAGTTGCGTCTGTTTTGGTCACTTACGGATCACGGTCGCGTTCACGATCGCGTTCCCTCGACCTTTCTCTGTACCTGCAATTAAATACATTCAGGTTCAGAACGGAATTACTTTAATATTTTTTTATTTAATCAATATGATTTCAAATAGTGAAGAGAATGTATTCTTGCCTTTGACTTATTCATAGTTATCAGTCATAAAACACGTTTAATAAGTTACATTTAAATCAAAATTTTTTTTACAGAAACACGTATTTATGAATAAATATATATACGAATATAAATTATAGAGAATATATTTACTGATATTTAATTATTTATGGTTATTTGTGTATGCGCCGTAAACACATAAAAAAATACGAAAAGACCGTAAGGACCAAAACATCATCGACGTCACGTATTTACTGTGTATTTTAGTGTAATAAAAATAATTACTACTATTTTTTTGTACAGGTACCAAAAGCGACATGCTCGATGAGTGCAACATTTTTTGATGAGGGTGATAAGTGAAGAAGTTGCTAAGTCCAGCACTTTAAGTATACATTACTATGCAAAAAAAGCATCATCAGCTGTGAAAGTAGCGATAAACGAAAAATTATTTTAAACGCCATTTTGGAAAAATGTTCAGTGTTACTAACAGAACGCTTCCTTAAAAGAACGATAGTAACTTTAATTTCCCCCTGTATAGTGGTGGAAAAGTCTGTCGATACAGTTACACGACTTAAAATCATATGTATCACATCTATTTACACAACTTGGTATAAAATCTCTAGAAGAATTAGTGTAGAGTATGGGCCTTTCCTTCCCTCTTAACCCCAACCCACCTACCAAAAGCATGACAATTACTAGCAAAACTCTACTTATAGGGAAGACTTATGTTCAGCAGTGGACACTTAACGGCTAAAAAGAAGATGACAGGCCACTTATATAATAATTCCAATATTTCCAGTTTTCTATATCTTGGTCGCCCAAGAATGAAAAGTAGTGGTTGCAACGCTCTGTCGCGTCACCATACAGAATAAAAACTGGCATGGCAACTGATTACAGACTTGAGGGTATAAAAATCAGATAGCTAAACATACAAACCAGTTCAATTAATGTCTTGTGTAGCCCTGACACTTAAAAACTAAACATCTGTAAAGCCCTACCAAATACTGCCTTGTCCAGAAGCCTGGCAACATACTACCAACGTTATTTGTTGATATATTTAACTAATCTGTAAATCACAGGCGACTTCCAGATGTCTTATACCATCTAAGACACCTCTAGCATTTTGGAAGTTTAAGTTGGCTAGACTAACCTCAAGCTCACACATAATGGCACAATTTTTATTTATGAAGTCCAGGAATATCTGAATAAACTAAACGACAAATGGCCAAAGAGTCGCATAATCAAATTCCAATAGAAATCTTTGAAATTTCATTTCATTACTTGATCATTACAAAAATATTTACACTAGCTTCACACACATACAGCCGTCGTCTACAGCCACACTAGAGAATTCGGTATAAAACGAATGTGACCTCGAAACTCTTGAAACTAAAGGGCTCCATCCACACACACGTTGAACATAATGATAAAATACATAGACAACAGAATGATATAATATTTTGATTAACCTCTTTTGTCTATAAACAGAGAATATATGAGTATATGTTGAAGTAACTATCTAGTAGTCCCCAAGATTCAGGTCTGGCCTAGTTTGGGAACTGATGGTAATGCAGACTTGTTTCTCTTTCAATATATATTTTAAATTGTAAAATTGTTATGATGGTAAGACAATTGTGTTGAGAATCTGCGATAGTCATTGACGATTTTAAATTTGAAAAAAATAATTAAATGGCGAAATACCTGTCCCGCTCCTCGCGGTCACGGTCGCGATCGCGATCACGATCACGGCTGCGATCGCGGTAGCGGCTGGCGGAGCGATCGCGGCGGCGTGGTGCGCGGTGATGGGCCCGTGCGTCTCTCTCGCGCGATCGCGACCGCCGTGACCTCTCACCACTGCTGTACGATTTGGTCTCTACGCCATGAAGCGTATCCTGGAGTGATGATATCAGTATCTTGCAGCGGTCATCGTGTGCCACCTGAAAAAGGTGAATTAATTAAAATTTGTATAAAATAGTAACAAAAATTATATGTAATCAATACAGCAGACTGCAAAGTGAAATAATCGCAACCAGTTCAGAAATTACGAACTTATTCGCGTAATATACACACAAAAATCAGGTTAGTTGCATGCTCGTTTGCCCGTGTTGTAAAAAAAAAAACATTACATTATAATTGCACGTACCTTGCTCTGCTTGATGAGCGATATGGCGGTGACGAGGGTCTCGATGGCGGACGCGTACTCGCCGGCGGCGGCGTCGCTGACGGCGCGCGCGATGGCGGACGAGGACACGGTGCGGTTGCGGTTCATGACCTCCTCGAACTCGGCCTCGCTGATGGCGGGCGCGTGCGGCGGCAGGGCGGCGTGCGGCGCGTGCGGCGCGTGCTGCGCGTGCGGCGCGTGCGGCGCGTGCGGCGCCAGCGGCGCGTGGTGGCCGCCGCGGCCCGGGGACGCGCCCGCGCCGCCCACCACGCCGCCGCCCGGGCCCACCCCCACGCCTACGCCTGCGCCGTAGCTCTGCGGGCGGCACCACACACGTCACCAAAACCATACCACTCACATTACGTTACATAGGAATAGATTGTCAGGGGGGGAAAAAGATTGTTAGTAATGGAGAGGTTAGTTCCCATTGCTATATATACACCTAATCAGGTCGACCTTCACGCGCTTCGCCCTGGAAACCATCGTTACTAATTCATCGTTAAATTCGTCACAATGAGCTAACTGACCGATTGTGCAGGCTGAGTTATCATTCCATTATCATCCATAAAAAAAAGATAGTCAGGAATAGGAACTTGACGACCCTGTAACCAATAAAATGTGATAGAAAAGGCAAACATAATGTTATATAAATTCACTAAAAGTTAAGTTTTTTTTAAGGATGATAATGAAATGGTTACCCCGTCTGCACTGTCGGTATACACTGACGGGGCACCAGTGAGGGATGATAGGTGGGCATGAAAAGGTAGGATAATTAGCCCAGTGATAAATTCCACAATAATGAATGATGGTTCCCAGAAGAAACCGCGTGGAGGTCGACCTAATAGGGTATATTGCTAGTGATACAGCTAATAAATCCTCATTACTAAAAATCCCTTTCCTTCTACCAGTTAACCTTTAGGTATAATTAGACAAATCATCTTTTTTTATAATAGCACGACATGTGCTCTCATTGTCCTAAGCCAAAACAGGGACAATATGATCTATGAATATGAACTAAAAAGAGCATGTTCTACTCTCAGCAGTTGACCAATCCGAGATTATAGGATAAGGCGAACACATCACAGAAAATACTATTCTAAAATGTCACAGTATCCATAATGTAATGTAAATTAAACTAACATTTCTGCATTAAGCATCTCATTTGGGCCATTGTATGTGTCACAGTATCTTTATTTTTAATTTTTTTTAATAATATTATGGTAAGGCAGTCAACACTATTAGTGTATGCTAATGAGGTGACAATAAATAAAGATGAAATCAGTTTGACGTATTATTACAAATTTCACTGGTATTTAACCGCAATGAGCACATGAGAGTCACATAAAAGTCTAGACTTTGGTATATAAAATACTCAAACCAACTTCCAACCAATCTCCCTAGAAACCCATCATGCTGAATTCCTGATTCGTCAAGTGGACCAACTGACTTAATAACGACTTGGTATGAAAAAAAAATTATGTGTCAGCTCATATTTGGTCTTACTGACACTCGATACTCTATCTAGATATATATTGCTGTTTCAAGAAATTTCCATTTCCAAACTTTCAAAATGATTGAATTCACCTGTGGGGGACGTCCATATGGCTGCCGAGCTCCCGGAGGTGGTCCCGGCGGTGGTGCATTGTGTGGTGGATGACCGTATGCAGCTCCAGGACCTTTGCAGTAATTATATCAAATTAACACAATCATACAAAGTAGGTATCGAAAATTGACAAAAGGATAAATGTGCCAAATCCAAAAACAGATTATAGATAGTATGTTTAATTTGATGGACCACCTGATGATTAGTAGTAACAGTCGCCTATGCATCACAGAATACACTGTGATGCCTAGTATATCCCCATTTGCCATTGCCCCATGATTTGCCATTGTTGAGGTCTATGGTGTTATGTCTCTATACCTTGTAATTTTACTGCTATATCCTTCAAATCGAAAGACAATGTATTCTATCTACAGAGTGAAATGAAAATCATCTAGAAACGCTTAACAGCGGAGAGCGTCACTGTCGCACAAGTACCACTAATAACAGTAACAGTAGGTACCGGGTGGTGGCGGCTGCTGCACACCGGGCGGCGGCTGCACTCCGGGAGGCTGCTGCACGGGCGGCTGCTGGTTGAAGAACGCGGGGTTCACGTGTGGCGCGGGAGCGCCTCCACCTACGCCTACACCTGTGTACAAGGGGCAGAATTGTTAGTAATAAAGACTAGCCGCCCCATCAATATACCCTGCCAGGTTGAACTCCACACTCGGGAAAATGGATTGTTAGTAATGCAGACTGCCATTTCCATTGCCAGAAATATACCCTGCATATGTCCCTTTAAAAACCATCATGCCTCATTACTAATAAATAACTCAGAGTGCCGGCATAGAATAGACCAGCCTTTTCTTTCCCGTGGGTGTCGTAAGAGGCAACTAAGGGCAAAGAATGGGCAGCAGCATCCCTCATAAAACATCTCCAAGGCCTAACTGCGGTTGCCAATCCGCCTGCCAAGCGTGGCAACTACTAGCAAAACCCCCAAGGGCAAGGCTTATGTTCAGCAGTGGTCAGTTAAAGACTGAAATGATTATGAAGTCACAATGTGCCAACCAACCTACCCTCAACAGTAAAGAGAATGTTAAGTAAGATTGTTAGTAATGGAAACTAGTAGCTTTACATACATGTACATACATTGTAAACTTAACACTGCTAACAATATATATAACCGGTCAGGTCGACCTCACAATCCCTCCTTGAAACCATCGAGTTAATCTCAGGCGAATTTATTACATATAGCTAACTTACCTGCCTTTTCATCATTATCTATCAATCTCTTCCTGATGCAGTTTACATTTTGATTATCCCTCATTGAAAAAAAAAAAACTTATCTTCACTGTCATCTTTTCTGATTTCCTAAATAATAATCCATTAACTTCATAAGGTCGCTGACATACCTGGATGTTGCGGAAGTGGTGCCGGCCCACGCATCGGACCCTGCTGGTGTGGAGGGAGCTGGTGATGTGGTGGCGGCAGACCTTGTCCAGGTTGCTGCAGATACAAAATATTATTATGATAGATTATATTACATTTAACCGTGCGGTTCCGGTATAGAATGGACCACCCCTTCCTTTCCCGTGGATGTCCTAAAAGGGGACTAAGAGAACGAACTTAATGGTCGAGAGATGGACGTCGGCATCCCTCTTACAACATCACCTAAATCTAACTGCAGTTGCCAACCCGCCTGTTAAACGTAGCAACTAATGATTAAACCCCCCAATAAAGGGTGGACCCTAATCAGCAGTGAACAATTAACGGCTGATATAATGATGATTACATTAAATAAAATGAAATATACTAGAGAAATGGCAAATGTACCAATTACTACCGCGTACATGACATTAAGACGCTGGATGTTGCTTTATCTTTATATCACATAGTTGCGAAACGCTTATCAATTGGATTTATTTGGGCCTGTTAGAAATAGACCTCTTTGAAAAGTGACCAAAAAAATTATCTAAAGCCATAGCTTCAGATAATTTTTAACCACAGTTCTTAACCAGTGATCCACGGACTATTGGTGGACCTTAGCACTCAGTGGTTTCACAAAAAGATTAAAGAAGAGACAACAGGTCAACACAATGACTAAATTTTTTTTAATAAATAATTACGTTTAGTAGTTTACTTTCCATTGAGTGGCCCGTTAGCTTTTTAGCCATTCTAAGTTGCTTAAAAACGAGATATGACGCAGAGAGTGAAGAGATTGTTAATTCTTGAAGAATTCGTCTCAATGGGCAGACTGACTTGCTTTCATCCTCACCTATCATTCCTTAGAGATGCTCTGCCAGCGTGTACCGGTAACTGCAGGCAGGGTTAGCATCCCATTACCACACATTAAAATACTTACTGCATGGGGCGGAGGCATCTGATGAGGCATCTGGTGCTGCGGCGGGCCATATTGCGGCGCAGGCTGCGGTGGCAAGTGGTGCGGAGAGCCGCGCGGACCCCACTCGGGCCCCGGCCGCGGTCCTGGTGGCCGCTGCATCTGGGGTGGGCCCTGGAACTGAAACGTACGTGCACAAATGGCTTTCTCTTAAGACATGAGGTTGTGTCCATTGTAAGTGCATTACACTATGAAACATGCTTATTTCTTACCCCTGAATTATATTGTACATATTCAATACCAATTTTTAAAGTAATTAGATGACGTAAAGTTGTTAAAAGTATGTAGACTATATCCTTCATCTCAAAGACTGCGTGTTTACCAATTTTCATGGTCCAATTATTATAATGATTAAGCAATTAATCCGATAAGATACCAAGGGTTTTAAATCTTTTCTACAGATCACGAACATACGAATGAACCTTTGGCTTTTTTTTTTTTTGTGGGTAGCTGTGTAGCACTAATCAAAAATTGTTGCTCTGGACTATTATTTTATTTAAATTCAAAATAATACTTATTATTGTTATATTTTATGTTTAAAGTATAAATTTAGTAGTTGTCTTCGCAAATATGATCACATTTCTCAATTTCGTACTCAACTCAAGTGGCTCTCTATCCGTTTTCGTCGTAATCTGCATATCCTGTCTCTTCTTTACACAATCCTTTTTAATCCTGCTGCTCCTGATTATCTAAAAGACCGATTCTTGTTTCTCAGTGAGGCTAATGATCATACTTTACGCAGTGTCAATAACCTCCGACTTAAATTTCCCACTCATTCTTCTTCCTTTTATTCTAGATCCTTTACTGTTCAGGCAGTTCGTCTATGGAACTCACTACCTGCCTCTATTCGGTGCGCTCAAACTCTTACTAGCTTCAAAACCTCTGTTAAATCTTACTACCTCTCACTTTAGTACTATTTTCCTGTGTTCTCTCTTTGTTTTCCTTCATCATTTTTTTCTGTTGTATGTATGCTGTTAAGTATGTGTATGTTATGTATATATTTAATTGTGTATATATTATATACGAGTATGTATGTGTATGTATGTATGTATGTTATGTATATATTTAATTGTGTATATATTATATATGTATGTGTATATATGTATGTATGTATTTATATATGTTTGTATATGATAATATTTATATAATAGTGCGCCACCTACTCTTTGTCTTTTTCTCAATGTCCTCTACCCAAAGGTTGTCTGGAAGAGATTTCAGCGATAAGGCCGCCTTTTGTATCACTTCTCATTAATATTTACTGTATTTGTTATTTCTCTTTTTACTTGGTGCAATAAAGTGTAAATAAATAAAATGAACCTTCTATTGTTGGCAGTGTTCCAAAACCACTTACCATCATTTGAACACTATATTTAAAACTATCGAGATTATATAAATTTGTGGGGTTTATAAACAGAGAGCTCTAGGCACTGAAAGGTCGTGGTAGTGTATGCGATCGGGATAATTTGGCCCACGGCCTGATATTATTACATATTTTTCAACAGACCTGCATAGGCGGTCTGTGCGGTGGCGGGCCCTGATGCGCCGGTGGACCCTGGTGCTGCATGTGATGCGGCGGCGGGCCCTGGTGCTGCTGCATATGGTGCGGAGGTCCATGTGGCGGACCTGGTGGTGGACCACGCATCTGATGATGTGGCCCGGGGCCTGACATCATCATACGCGGGCCATTTGGCCCCGGACCGTTCGGTCCTCCGCCGAAGAAATCTAAATAGGAAACATAATTATCTTTTGTACTAGTAGAACAGACACTGGTGTGGTATATGAAGTAATATAAAAATGTACTGCAAACTTTTGAAGGGAATCCATGTATGTAAATAATCAGTGTGGTTACTCTTGAAATAAATTCCAATAGATGGATATTGCAATCGAGACGTTTCGCACTCTTAAATTGCAATACTAGCGTCATAATAGTTCCATATTGTTTTAATAGATGCATATTAGTATAACTTCATCGTCCCATTCATATTTCTACCGTGAAGCAGTTGTTTACACGACTGTGTTTAAATTTTGAAGGGTGGGATCTAGCAGTGGATTTACAGGAGACAGAGGAATAAAACCCGAGTCCTCAGGAATGGCAACGCATGGACGGTATCATGGGCGAAAGAGTATACTTTATTGTCCACGGTACTGCTCATGTCTATAGGCGAAGGTTACCAATTACAATCAGTTGAGCCGTCAAAAAAAAAATTTGCTTATACAAACTATTGTAAACTGATCCCAATTATAATGTACTTTCTAATATAAGTGCAATACAAAATCGTCTTTGGCTTATAAGGCTAATAGATTGGATTGGTATCGATATTAAATTCTACAGTAGACCTGCAGGTATGACTTATAATTTTATTTATTTATTTATTTATTTATTTATTCATTAGTACAAATATGTGTACATGGCAGACTTAATGCTAAAAGCATTCTCTCCCAGTCAACCATAGGGAAGTTTATATAAACAATAAAATACACATGGCTTTCTGAGGCTAAACAACGACAAACGTCTCAGTAAAGCATATCATAAGCATATTGCTTTACCGAGAATAAAATATACTACCGCCAATATTTTTTTTCATAATGAAATAGAATGAATTGCTATCTTCACACTGAGCAACTTCACAAAATATTTGCAGTACATTTAAACAAACATATCAAAAGTGCTAAACAGCACAGGCACTCTTTTTTATACCTCCTGGGTGGGGTCCGGGTGGACCGCCCGGGTGCGGTCCTCTCATACCCGGGTTGTTGGGTCCGGGGGGAGTCGATCTGGTCTTAGATTGACTCTCAAACTGGTTCAACGCCTGTGAAATACACTATATTAGGACACACGCGTTTTATATTGATCATAATAATATCACTGTATTTGTAAATTTTAAATCAAAATTCGAAATAGACGTATCACGTGTTTTTGTGTTATCAGAAAGATCACTTTAATGCAGGTAGAATCACAGTAACGCATATTTAGAATATTTACTGATATAATAATATTAGGAATAATATAAACAAAGCAATTTATATTGTGTGTTTTGTATGAGAATGTTATGACTATGTAATAAATAAATATTTACATTATGTTGAGACCTAATTCTATTTCCATTTATATAAACGACAACTTCTATCGTCACTAAATTGCATTATCAATTGATGAAAATTTTGTAAACAAAGCATTAAAAACATGATTAAAATCTACGACTACCAAACAAAGTAGGGTAGGGATCGGGGGAAAGGGATCATTAGTAATGGGGTCAAATAGCCCCATTACTAGCAATATACATATATATATATATATATATATATATATATATATATATATATATATATATATATATATATATATATATATATATATATATATATATATATATCATATATATCAGGTCGACCTCCACGAGGTTCCCCCTGGAAATCATCGTGGCTAATTCTAGTTGAATTCGTCAGGATGGGCTAACTGACCTGCTTTTCATCCTCACCTATCATCCCTCACTGGGGCCCCGCCGGTGTATACCGATAGCGCAGGCGGGGTTTCCATGCCATTATCACCCATTAAAAAAACAAAGTAAGGTATATTTTTGGAATAAATTTCGTATTGTCGTAACAAATAAAGGTCTTGATAAATTTTAATAAATTCATGTATTCCTTTTAGGTACGTATGTATCATGGGCTAAGTAACGATAGTGAATATAAAAAGCCTTAATACTTGAAAATTTGGTAGTTTTTTCTTTGTCATTTCTCAGTTTTTTATTGATGCAAAATTATTTCTGATATGTCTGCTTATGTCATAAATTACCTAATCTTTATTACTATTCCATACCTGTTTGGTGGGTAAAGTGACGACAGGGTGTTGACCGTGTATCTCTTTCTTAGGCAGACGGTCCATGACCATCCTACACGACTGGTCTGAGCCAAGAGATATGACGCAGAACCCCTTGGATTGTCCATTGGACCTATTCTCGAAGAACTTCACATCTTGGAAGTCCGTTACACCGACGTCAGCAACCGCATTTGCCACATCTTGGTCTGTAGCCCACTGTAAAAGTGCACCGACAACTCAACTACGAGAAAACACTGTGCATACAGTAAAATATACATACATACGTGATCCAAATATTTCACTTTCCAATGAACGTACCTCGTTTAAGAAACTAACGCCCTAAAATGCAGATAATCAAAGCCTAGTATGTGCGTGTTATGTCGTTAAATTGTCTGTCAACCTAATAGTACAACCACGATAATTTTACACCGATGCAATTGTCACTTTTATTATGAAAACAAGAATAAAAATGAAAATTAACTGATAAACCGAATCCGCTTGAGTGCAGTCTTTCGTTGCGTACAAATTAACAGATGCCCCCCCCCCCCCCCCTTACGATGGCACTACCTACCTTACAACGTACCACAAGTTAAATAAATCATTAAAACCTAAGTATACCAAACTTTAGTTTGGATTGAAATGTACTTGATATATTTAGAAAACAAAAAGATTTTTTCTGTACTGTAGACATTTTGATCTCATTGAAATTATTTTGTCCAATAAATTCCAACTACCTACTTTTATTGAAAACCTTATTAGTGCTCGAGCCTTTACGTAATTGTGCAAATGAACTATCTTGAATATTATTTAAAATCAAATGTATAAGTTTTAAACTACTAATATGGCAGTTGACAACGAATCGTTCGCTACTTCAATCTTCCATGCGTACTTTCTTCAAATAAACTACCGTTTTATTTTTAACCGTGAATGTCCGCAACAGGAGCCGTTGGGAAAAAAGAAAGAGTGTTCTTTGTTGCTATGCCTTTTATTTCACCATCACAGATATTTTTGCTCATACCAAAGGTTATTACTATAAAGTAAAGAAACAATCAAAAGCAGCTAACAAACTGCTAAAACTGGACAATAAAAGGGAACAAAGTTCTTGCTGAACAATAAAAATAAGGATTAAGGTTATATTATTAAATGATCATATTTATAATCTGCTTAGTAACATGGTAATATTTTAATTCGCTTATTTTAAGTAATTACTGTCAACATTTCTTTCAATATTTGCAATAGAAACAAAAATAATAATCCAATGTATGTAAATAATTTTATCAAATTTAACACGACTATTCGAGTATTAATACAAACGTATTACGTAAATAATATTTACATTCATATTTTTAATCTTTTAATATAAAATTTAATATTATTTATACTACCGCCGTTCAATATAATACAAGGAAGTAATGATATATTTTTAAAAGTGCGACCGTTTATAATGAAACACAAAGTGACAATATAACAATATTCCACAATAAGGGAATCAAAACCGCGATATAATTAATCATTAATATTATAATAAAAACATTTCAGACGAGTTCATTCAATTGTAATATTTATGATTCAGAGAATGTTATTGAAAAATGTAACCCGAAATTGTTACAAAGATTTAGTAAACAAGACAAATTATACGAATTTTCATACAATTTACTTGAGTAAATAAAATTATACATATTTACCGCTATTTAGTTTATTTAATTGTACAAATAATAAATTATATAATAATCATCCTAAATGGATTTGCAATAACAACTTCAGACACATTGGAATTTTTACCCCCAATTAATTTTTACTTTTTTTTTTGTTCCACCATAAAATAATAAATACAAACGAACCACAAGAAATGAACAATATAGAATGTGAAACACAGCAATCCTTACAATAAAGTTTTATATCAGAGAAAATAAAAACAATAAAAATATGAATACTTGTAAACCAAATAGAACACAGGAGCTACATAAAACAAGCATTAAACATCTTACCTCATCGTAAACCTGATAAAAGAAACACTGGTTAAACAATATTAAAAAAAAAAATCAGATTCTGGGGTGCATTTTATACCAAATCATAAATGTATACCCAAGATACTGATTTTTGAGTTAACAAGCATAATATTCAGGCACATTTTACTATCAAACTACTTATTTGGAACAAAATATTGTATGGTTAGGCAAACAACACTAGTTGCCCTCTAAGAACTATTTAACCTACAAAACATCGGAGATACCTTCAATATGTCACCCACTACAGAAATGGTAACAAAAAATATATATATTTAGGACACTAAAATCATACTTCACGACATTGTTGTTAATATAGTGAAACACAGCATGTTGTCATCATTAAGAATTGGTGCTTAGACTTAAGTGTATATAGTATGATTAAGCAAAAACGATACTCACGTGTACGTGTACGGTGTTTGTTACATGTACTATAAAGATACATACAATAACAATCTCTCACTCATCGTCTTTCAAAATTAACAAAATCAAACATCAACCTAGCACTAACATGCCAAATAATCACTTCAGTGACATGAGGGATCAATGTATAAATGTTGATACATCAGGTGTAAACCAAAATCAATGAGATATCTACAAATTTTATAACGTGATATGGTTTGCAGTGATTTTGACAATTATAATACAATATTTTATAATTACATAGTTATATTATACATGCTCTGTAAAAATTTGAAATGAGTTTTTAGCATAAAAAATTAAAATCAATACAACTTAGATTTGCAGTATACAATATGGGCTAAATCTACAATAATTTTACTACTCGAAACATTATATTTTATACTTAATGTATTTAACAAAAAGTACATATTATATATAGATTTGTAAATGTTTATAATTTTTAATTCTAATAACTTCACTACATCTAAATAATCTAGTTATGTTCAGTATAAATCAATGGTTATCATGTTTTACAAACCATATCACTATATTTTAATAAAAATGTAAATATCTCTGTAATACTTATATTGGTTTACTTGTTTAAATGAAGTAATAAAATAAAAATATAACAAGTGTCAATAAATATAACATTTATTTTGCTGAGCAAAATAAATTACCAAATCTAAGAAATTTTAACACAAAAATTATTTCATAGATTTGGTGACTTGATACTGTAAATTAATTCACACAGAATTTGCATGGATTTAAAAATGTATTATATAAAAGAATATGACAAGAAATGCCAGTTGGTTAATCCACAACTTAAAATTAAGAAAACTGTGTGAAAAAATTACTCTTATTTAGATAAATACATATTAAAAGCAAAAACAAGGAATTAAAATTATTTTTAAGTATTATTCTAATTATATCACAGTCTAATAAAGTACAAAACATTACAATTTCACTATATCATATAATGTAACATTCAAAATATTGTCAATCTATTATGTTCCTTGTTTATGCCTGCCAATTGATATAGCTTTTTCATAAAAGCACACCATGAATATACATGGCAACTCAATAATAATACTATAATAACCTGATTATAAAAATAAAAACATACTTATATTTTAGTGATAAAAAACTAGTACACTACTCTTTATGTCTGTAAAAAATAATTGCTTGACACAGAGCTATGTTTTATGTGTTTCTTGAAATATATAAATATTTTATTATAAATGTATTGTTATGATATGAAAAATGTAATATATTAAGAGTATTTTATATCAAGTTTTGTATATTTAAAGAGCTCTATAAAAACCCCTTACAAAAATATAACAAACTTATTATTATTTATACATATTAGCATAAATTTCATAATCAGGTCTTATATTTTTATCAAGATACTGCTATATCAATGAGAGTGTATTCACTTTCAATTTTTTTTTTTTTATATATATATAAATATTATTCAGTCAAGACAAAAAAGTAACTTCATTTCACAATATGAATAGTCTGATGTTTATGAATCCAACTGTAAAATTTTTAATGTAAAATGAAGTTTACTGATTAAAGTAAATGTGCATCCATTGAGTGAAAAGAGAAATCATTAGCATACTTAAGGTAGTGTTCTACCAGTGGGAGATTTTAACCACACTTTTTGGGAGTGTTCAGTTTCACCAGTAGAACACTTAATAAAGGATGAGAATGATAATGATTTTAATCCTGTATAAGAAACTAGGAAAGGACACTCATATCACACATTCACTTTATTTATACTGGTAACCATATGATTTGCTTATAAACAAATTAAAGAATTTCTAAATACCAAATTGAGAATAACAATCATATTTAAAAAATTGTAATTAAAAGGCTCATACTTATTTTTGTAACATCAAATCACATAATAATTAATATTAAATCTCAACTCAGTAGTTGTCTAACTCATTTCATTATTTACCAACAAATTTTCTGTATTATCATAAAATGATATTTGAACATTAAACATACTGCTGTCGTGAACATACTGTTAAATTATGACAAAAACTAACAAAAATTCAAAGATAATATTTTGAATTTGAAAAACAAGTTGTACTTATTTTCATTTAAAAATTAAATTACCACATTCAAATATTAATTTACCACAAGCATAAATTGTGGTATAATTATAGTTGCAAGATTTAATATAACTACAACAAATTAATATTTATTAAATAATATATAATATGCCAAACAGTACACCTCCAATTAAAACTGACTGTCTGTGTTGTCAAATTATATTTATATGTCACACTTGTCAGTTTTAATTGTTTGATGTCGTCTCGTGGCTTAACTGTATATTAATTAGCATTTTGACATATTTTGTTATGAAGTATTATAATGTTAATTCTCCACCCAAAAACAAATTTGACAATATATGCATAATGATTGTGTCTTTAATTCTTGTGGCCATGAGATTTTATAATGTGAACTGCATAGTAAAGCAGACATACACATGAAATATGCTATGGGTATACCTATAACTTAAAGGCAAAATTAAAAAGGAATTATAAAACATCATGGTCATTTCTTTAGTTTCATTGCTCAAAGAAATTATACTTATTGTCTATCATAATTTTAATACCCAAAACCACTAGAACTGAGTTAGACAAGATAATAAAAATAATAAACATTATTATAGATCTATCATATGGTTACACATTGAGCTGCCAATCGTCACCGGTTCAGCTTCTTAAGGATTTTAAAGCAATTTGAATTTAATTTAATACATCAGCATCGTTCAATACAAAATGAATGTTCTAAAAACAACAAATTATTTGCACTACTAATATATTGGATAGTTCAGATATATAAATCTTCCCATTAAATAATTATAAAAATCTATAAAACACTGCAAATAGGAACGCAATTTTGTTTATAGACTGGCAGGAAAACGAGCCGAACCGGTGAATGCAAAGAGCAACCCACAAATTTATCCGTTTATCCTTGTAGCAGGAATAAACAGATATCCAAACAATAAATAGAACAACTTGATCATCCTATATTTACATTATAATCTAAATGAGACAAAATCTAGTACAAACCCAGGTGAGGTTGCCGACGTAAAGCTGGAAGCGGCGGCCATGATGTCCGTGGCTTGGTGCGTTATTGTGGTACGAAGCAGAGCCATTTGTCTCCTCTGGCGGATGCGAATGCTGCGGCGCGACCGAGTTAGGTGGGCCGTCACCATCCTCCGGCTTCGCTGCAGGCGCCGCGATCACATCGTCGTATAAATCCACATTCTCACCACCAAATTCATCCTAAAAAATGCCGCCCCAAAACAAAAACGATTAGTAGTGTCAAATAGTAATGAATGACTCAATACTAAATATAATTGAATTTATTGCTTCCATATGCAGAGATATTTTAATATTACACCACTTCATATTACTTACTTGTCTGTTAAAATCCGATTCAATATCATCGGCGTAGAGATCAATATCCACGCCGCCATCCGCCATTTTGCGAAATGGTTATTTTAAAGCGAATGAAAATTTTATTTCGCTTGTTGCTCCTTGCGTCCATCACCCGACTTCCGGCAAAAAGAGACTTCCAACGATACACAATCGATGAACGAATAATAAACTATTTGGTAGTTTATAGATTTATTTTTCTAAAAAATAATATTACTAATTATTGTTAAAATCTTGAAAAAATAAAAATTCTATCGATATGAATTTAATTTTACTTTCTCTTCTATGCTATAACAAATCGATTTATATACACAAACATTGAGCAAACTATATTACTTATTATTACACATTTGGCGTTTCATTGTTTATGCCTATCCTCATGGGCGATAGACACGACAAATATTATAGTAAAAATAATCAATTATATTGTAGAAGCATATATTTTATTGTGCATTGATATGATTATAGAATTGTTCTGTCCAAAAATAATAACATAAATAATAAATAATATAATAAATACACAAATAAATCTACTAATAACAATTACTTAATAATTATTAAAATATAATTTTTATATTTCAGTATTATATCCTTTTATTTATAGCTACACACTTATCCAACGAAATCCATAGACGGTCAAAGGCTTTTCGACAAGCACGAATTAATTTCCACTTGTAGAACAAATTCGAATAAGTGGAGCACTTCTATTTTACATATACTTCTTTGTCTTCAAAGTCTTTTACAAGCAGCTATAAATGTTTAATTCAAGTAGCTTGACTGTCTATGCATAGACTTAATTTTGTAATGGTACAGCACTAACCGGATATTCGTTATTTTTTTATTATTTTTAGGACTTTGAGGTCGCAGTCTATTCGTTACCTTTTGCACACTTTTTTTTTTGTTTTCATAATTTATCTATTTGATTTATTATTTAACAATGAAAAATGCCTTCAACTAGAATCGATTCTACCCTAAAATTTCCTTACCTCCATTGTCACCCACCATTATTACTAAATGTTATTTAAAAATGTAAACTTTACTACAAGTTTACAAAAATTTATATTCAAAACTATATAATTAGTTTTTCAATTAATGGTTTTAATTCAAAGTATTTATTTCTCGTCACAGAAGCAAAAAATCAAATAGAGAACACATTACAACAAAATTGATGTCTTGGAATTATATTCATACTTATTACTTTTTATGCATTCTGTTATACATAATATGCATAATTATGCAACTTATTTTTAACCAAAAATCAAAAGTATCATATGGACATGTGGATAAAAAAATAGTTTTCTAAATACAGCATCTATAGTAATATCTTTTAAACGCCATCTATTTGTAAATGTAGATATTAGTTCAGTGATGCTATTTTGCGTTTACCGAGCTGACCTCTATAACTGTAATTGAGAATCGAGAGAGATGGCATGCGCGGGGTGTGCGGAGAGAAGATATCCATCCCTCGCCATTTTACGTCAAAAGCTGAACTCAATCAACTAAGCTTCTGTCAGTCGCTGTGTTTGTGTACAGTGTTGTGAAAAATTATCTGTGTCGATGAATATCAATGGGAAATTGTGTTGATCACGGCTCAAAACGATGGGTCGATTGTTGTGTTTGTGGCTCTGATGCATCATTCTATTTGTAATGATGGCCAAGTGTTTGATGAAGTGAAGTGTTTTGTGTCGTATGCTGGCCAGTAACAGCAACAGTGAGATCCTTTCTCTGGATAAATCGTCCCCAAGACGACGGCGAATCATACAACAGGAAGGTGACCCACCATGTCGGCGAAAAATATCCCAGGAGATAAGGTAAAGTGCCTTGTTAGCCAATATCGACAAAGGTCATAATAATATATTGTTTGGGTATAACACTCCTTTCTCTTTATCCTACCTGCTTATTCAAGATGAGTTACTTTGTTTGATACATATTTGTGGAAAATGTTTCCTCATCTGGATTACTTCACAAAATACGAATTATATGTATGTTTTATTATCATGAATAATATTATTTTATTAAGTGATTAATTCCATAAAATACAGGTGAATACATAGTCAAATATTATACATTTCTTAGTCTGAGTAGATCAAATTGAAAATATTCATAATCAATGAGCCACATAAAATATTTATTTACTTTTTAAACTTTAACTAAAAATGGACTCAACACCTTTAATAGCTTTATTTAGCAATCAACCTTAGATAGGAATGATTTAGTATCACAGTGAAAAATAATATTCTTTAGAAAAACAATATATATAATATGTATAGATACAAGACAAGACAACCATTTGAATAGAAACAAAAATCATATAGAAAAATAATATCAACATATATGTGGCCAGACTTCAATTTACATTATGGCTACAAAGAAGTTTCAATAAATGAATGAACAAATTAATTAATGGTGTTAATCTTTATCTATATGAAATGGGAAAAATGTCAGTTTATCCAGCTAAAATACATATGGAAGTGAATTTGTTTTTTCTTATCGTCTCAATGGTTACGAAATAAATATTTTTTAATTTTTATTTTTCATGGTGCAAGCAATCACAGTGAAATTTGGTATACAATAGATAGTACTTAGAATAGAGAACCATATATAATTCTGAGTCTATCCAATTACTATGGTCATGCCCCCATAGTCATTGATAAACTGGTAAGAGAATTAAAAAAGTATATATGAATATTAAATTAATAATTTATATCAAACAGTACATTTAATTTATATGTAACAGTAGATTCCAATTAGCTTCCAGTTAGTTATACAGGTTGTAACCATGTTAATTTTTTTTGCAGAGAAACTTTCATTCTCTTAATGATAAGTATCTAAAATGTTGACTCAAGAATATATGTTACAGTACCAAGGAAATTAAAATCTGTGTATTAATTTATGTTATGAATAGAAAAACATTAAAACAAAATGTCTATAGTGCTATACTTATTCATTAAAAGCAAAAAGTGTATCTCAAAGTATATAATAAATTTGTTTCATAACTATAATCTCTAACAGGGTAGCAAGTATGAAACATATTTTGTAGTTATTAAAATTAAAAAGGTCATAAAAGGTCAGTATTAAGTTTAATTACAGTAGAGATGTGTTAACATACTATTATTACACTATAATATATTGAGCCATATATATAAAAATCCAAAATAAACACTGTACAGTTTGAGTTGCTAACTTGTTTATTTATTATAGCAATAACAAGTTGTGGCCTACTGATAACATTAAGAAGAGATAATAAAAAAATAAACTATTATTAATTTAATTAATTATCTATTTAAAATAACAGAAACATGGAAGTATAATTACTATTGAAAAATGTGTCTCTCATTAACCCTTTCATTAATTATAAATGTTTACAAGTATTAAAAATTAATAAATTGAATAATACTTATGATATGTGACCTATCTGAAATATCATTACAAAATTGTAAACCTCAAAAATTAAAAAGAGCTTTTTAATTTTTGAGGTTTACAATTAAGAGATTTTGTATAAATTGTTTGCATGTGTACGAATGTGTCACTTATTTTCACTCCCATATTTGTTATTTTACTACCATGATAGCAAACAAGCTTACTGCCTATGTAATGATAAACGGTTACCATAGCCTATGGATAGAAATGTCTAGATATTGTTGCAACTTCAATAAGAGTGTGTATTGCTGACCACATTTTGAACCCCATGCTGTAAATCTTTAAACTTTCTCTGGAAGCTCATTCTACAGTTGGAGTATTTGTAGAAAGAAACAAATCTGAAACCAATTAATAATCTAGGATGTTCAAATGAATTCCTTGTTAATGTTGTTAGAAAGGTTATTCATTAACCTACATAATATTATGTTTTCTTTATGGGAGTTGAGAATGAAAGTGGAATTATCATATATTGTGTTATTGTATCATGTCACAGGGTTGGTAATAAATTAATGATGCCTCTGGTGTTACATATTTATTTGGCCTTGGTGTCTGCTCTTATGGCTGACCATTGCTTCATTGTCATCTTTATTGTGCATAAGTAAAAAATAAGATGGAATTGATTTTGTTAAATTAGATACTTTTAGAGATTTTGAATATTACTTTATAGAATTGGCATCAATATTATTTATTTATTGAGGTTTTAAATGAGCTAGTTAAGTTGTATCAGACTCATATTAGGGACAACAGCTAAAATAAAGGTAACAAAGTTTATTAATATATGTATACAATTTATTTTCCATGCGATTTTATCTGCATGATCCCCATATAAAATTACTTAAGTAAATTCGTCTCAATACATACAAAATTTTATAAAAATTGATTGAGATTTTCAGGTGCCAAAAGGTATTAAACTAACTCACTTTCATATTTATAAATATGTATTATTAAGATATATTTAGTAAAGACTTCAAATTAATACAAAAAGAAAAAACAAGGCCAAAATTTTTGTTAAATGATTATATAAATCAGTCCAAAATTGGAAAGTAGGTACTGATGAATCTCGTTCAGTAATAGTATTATAACGGTTTCAGCTCAGTTAGTAGAACATTAGGTTACAGTTATTATTGAATTAAAAAAATGATCATAATTTCCAAGTTCAGTCTAATAATAGGTGTGACGTCATTAGGTGACTAAATAATTCATTGTTCAAACGTCGATTGTCAGTGACGGGCCTGAACCATTAAAAAATCATAATATTATCAACTATAAAAATAGATTTCTTTTCGCTACTTCGGACACGTAAATTTCAGAAGTAGGAAATCAATGAAATATCGAAGTGATTTATTTTATTAGTTCTCTTACTGGCGTATCAAGACAAAGCATACACTGTATTTTAGGTTAGGCATTCAGAAACATAACTGTGAAAACTGCATTCAACTGGGTAGGCAGTAGGTATATTTTGTGTGATGCCGGAACAAACATACAGAGAGACAGACGAAATTGCTTAAAAATATTATTGTTATTTCTATTTCTTTTATTAAGATCCTTCATATCAGTTTTTGTTAAATATCTTACAAATACGAACATTGTCTAGTTACCATTTTATTATATTAGTAAAATAAGTTATTAAAATCATAGAAACATAAGGTTTCTGAGATACAGTGCTATGACAACAAAACAGGCAAAGTCGCACCATAAAGGCGTCTTTGTCTTCTATTTTAATGCGTAACCCTAAAAATTTGTACTATACTACTTGTGTAACGATGGCGCCCTGGAGTGTCAAGAGTTTCTTGGCCGTCTTCGTTATGCGCCTTCCTAAACACGAGACAATTGTTAATCATTACTAAAAGATAACATATTGGCTTAAGCCAATTATTTTATTGATAAAATAATTGGTCGTGAGAAAGTACCGATTATGATTATTCATTGACTTTGCCTCCAAAAACCTCATCAACTGTCATCCGCAATATCCTTACTAGAGGGAGATTTCGTATAAAAGTCGTTTACTTGGGCACCTCTGTCTCATTCGAGTTTCTACTGTAAAGCAGTTGTGTTTGCATGGCTGTTTTGGTTTGAAGGATGTTATTCGGTATGAAGGTATATGACAGTGAATTTACAGGGTATAGAAGAATAACACAGTCCTCAGGAATGGCAACGCATGGAAGGTATCATGGATGAAACAGTATACTTTGTTATGTCTATGATACTGCTCATATTTAAAGGCAACGGTTACCACGTTCCATTAGGTAGGCCGTCAGCTTGTTTGCCATTCTAAGTTGCATAAAAAAAACTATCCTACAACGCGCAGAATATAGTATTATCTATGATATTATTATAACAAGCTTTACCCTATATATTTTCTTGTTTATAATATAGATTTGTTTACCTGAAGAGCCGTCTACTTACGTATGAAGTTGAACTGAAGCGACATCGACAAGTCTTCCGTCTCACCGCTTCGATGAACATCCTTTACGCCTACGCACCTACAGTAAACTGACGCCAATACAAAACTAAAACAACTTTGCATGTTGAAAAACAAATTGTATCGCAATCTAACACGTAACTACCAGAAAATTACGTCTAAAGTATACTTTTGTTTAAATTTAGTATGAGGCAAGTTTTTATTTGCAAAAAAATGACAACACAAACAAATTATAGCGTGCAAGGTATGATGAAGAAAGAACAATAATTAAAATAGGTCACAATACAAAAGATATAATGAACTATATATTTACAAAAATATTTTATAATTTGAATTTTAGTAATTGTCTCCCAAATTAGTCTGAAGTAACTGTATTTTAGAAGATTTATAGAAGCTAGAGTCTTCTTAGTAGTGTATTCGAAATACAATGATACCCTCCATTATTAAAAAAATCTACCAAAACATTGTATGTCACTGGTTTACTGCTTGCTAATTTAACTTGTTGATCCTTTGGTTGGAATATTCGTTCATGTTAGTGCTCGTATAAATATTTATCATATATGGAGAACTAATGAGAAACGGAGAGAAGGAACTGTTGGTCTGTTAATTAGATGGGAAGCTTAATCTATTACTAACAATCTCTTTAACTGGATGAACAATGAAACTAAGGCACGTCACGTAACGTTTGAAGTAACAAAAAGATGTCAAAAAATATAGATATATATCAAAAAGAGAATGAAAAAGAGTAATATAGTAATACAAATATATAATAAATAAATAAATTATATATATATATATATATATAATATTGTGTATAAAAAAGGCCCACTGGCAAAATTGTCAGCAACAGTTCCAAAGGGGTACCTTTGGAACTGCTGACAAATACAGACAGACAGTTGGAGAGTGACTTAATTTGATATAGAGATAAACTCAAATTATGTTACTGGGAGGCAAAGAATGCAAGGATTA